TATTATGTTAGATAATGTGTCAAGGTTTATAGAAATACTAAGAACACGAAAAACCGAGTTATAACGAAGAAGTTATGACCATTCTAAGATTTCTGACAAAACCGGCAACACCGATTAAACGAAAAACACGAAGTTTCAATACAATAGTTTTTAGCCTTAAGTCTCTAAATGAAAGTTATAGGTAACCTCAAACCGTGAGCATACATAAAATGAACGTCCAAATCTGACTTCGTATGAGAAAGTTATGATTTTTCCAAGATTCGGGTATAGCAGTAGACAACTAAAAACTCGAAATAGAGCTCGAGATACTTTTGACCAAAACAACCCAAAGGAGAATCTAAGGTCTCAACATTAGTAGCGCAACGGCGAAAAGTCTGACGAAAACGGACATCGGATGAAGAAGTTATGGATTTTTAACGGAATTTTCGTGTCCCGGCCCGTTAAAAATAAATAATTAAGAATAAACTCAAAATTAGCCAATGAAGTCTAAACGAGAGTTGTATATCATGTTTTTAGCTGCGCGTGCATATAAAGAACGTCGAAAACGGAGGTCATACGTGAAAGTTATGGATTTTACAAGTTCAGGGTCCAAAATCCGAGGCTGTCAGGCCCCCACGACGTGGCACAGCTTGGCCGCGACCCGGCAAGTGACTGAGAGCGTCCAATCAACGAAAGAGGATAAGTCTTGCCCCCCACGACGTGGCACACCAGAATTGCCCCTATAAATAGAACTCTTGGGGTGTCGGGTTTAGGTGCTCCATTCTTCCAGCTCTCATGCCGAAACTCTGCGGTTAAGCTCCCGAAGCCCTCCTAAAGCCCCGGTTTTCACCTTCAAGTCCGGAAGGAAGGTTTTGTGTTCCCGAGATTCCCGAGAATCCCGAGATTTTTCCGCGTTTTCAACTCTTCCTGTCGAAGTTCTGCTCGATTCTTCTTCCGACTACTTCAAATCAACCACTTCAACCAAGTGAGTTCATACCCTTTTCAAACACACTTTAAATACATTTTAAATGCTTTTATACTCTTTTAGGGGGGGGGGGGGGGTAATACAAGTAAATATACGGTTATTATCGTGTATTTTATAAAGTTTCACTTCACTTGTTTTACCGAATAAATCACTTGGAACTCATTACTATTATGGAAAGCTCTTGTCATACTTTGTGTGCATTAGACTTATGCAAAGTATATAATGATTTCAAAGTACCTTTCATTGTTAAGTCGTTTTATACATTCTAAAAACTTATGATTCATGTTTCGTCAAACATTGTGAAAAAGGATAAACTTTGCATACAAAAACTATCACTTTAATACAGGCTTAGTTGAGAATCCATGAGACATGTATATCTTCAAACGTTACTTTTCTTTATTAGAAAGTAATGCTGCAAGTCCTATCTATAACCAGAGTCTCCCGTTCAGAGAACGTGTCAAATGTGTATAGATCTATATGGGAAGTCATGATCCTGCGCCCTGACTGTTAGCTACAGTCCGTCCTTTGGGGTGACAGTTGTCATAACGCTATGGTTATAAAACTCATCGGATATACAATTATTATGGTATTATGCTTTTATGAACGAGTGACTGTTAAAATTATTCTTCAACTAACAAACGCGATCTTCGTATAGCTTTATTATATAAAACTATGACACAACTTTTAAGAACGTCGTTTTCTTGCGATTTTCGGTCTTAGAGACTTCCAGCCATGTTAGGAAAATAAGGGTTTTTCCTGTATACAAACCAAACAACTAATAGGAAGATAAGGGTTTTTCCTAGTGCAATTATTTACAACTTATGACATGAACATTCATATGCATTTCATACATTTATAAGAAAATAAGGGTTTTTCTTGGAAGATACAACAAATCATATCTCATCCATTAGGGAAAATATGGGATTTTCTGGATCTAATACATTCATTTTCAATACAACAAGTCACAACTCTTCACACTTGAAATACTGAGTTTTTCTGGAAAACATACACCCATTTTGGAATGGCATCCAATTTTTCTAAACTACTTATGAACTCACCAAAATAATTGTTGACACTTTTTCTTTGAAATAACTTGTATTCTCAGGGAACCACTAAGCAGGTTTGGGAATCAACTTTTGGGATTAACGCGCTGGCGTTAATTACTTCTTTTGAATCATGTTTATGTATTTATCTTTTGAACATGTAATGAATACAATTATGTAAACATCTTGGAAACTTTAATATATATGGTGGTGTGTACTTTCCTTTCTATGAACTGTTATGATACTGAATATGACGTCCTCCGCCCCCGAACGTTTCCGCCGTTCTGGTTTGGGGGTGTGACAACCCTAGATCTAATATATGATAATCAATATAACATATGAATTAGGGTTTAGATCATACCTTGATTGTTATGTAGCAACAACAATCTCAAATCCTTCTTGTATTGACTTTAGAAAGCTTAGAGTCACAAAATGGTTCACAAACACCAAGAGCAAGAGGATGAAGAGGAGAAAAGAAGGAGGCTGCCCAAAACGTGTGGAAACCCTAGAGAACAAGTTCACCACGTTTTTGGGCTTAAGGGTTCTTTAAATAGTGAGGCTATTAGGGTTATCTAACAAGGAATCCCTAATTTGGATGCTTAAGCCCTAAGCAACACATGGACTCCTTCCTTAAAGGCACTAGGATGATTTCTAATGGGTTTCCCCATAGAATTCGTCAACCCCTTTAATATGGAGTCCATTAGCTCAATATTCAACTATCATACAATTAACAGTTCAAGTCCCTTAAGTTTAATTAATCTCTTTTAGCCATAAACTTAATTCTTATTAATTCTTGACTAATATTAATTAAGCAATATGATTTCTCCTTTAATATATTATTCTCATAATATATTAATAAATCATATTTAATCCTTTCTCTCCATAATTCATCCTATCAAGTTGCTTTGGTGAAGGCAACCCAAAAGGACCATGCACCATCGGGTCAAGTGCATACCAAAATAGTTATGGACTTAGACACTAATCCAACAATTTTAGTAACACAAAATACTCCTATAGTATTTTAAGTTTGATGTTCTGTTCTACTGTTCTCATTATAGTAGTGTTGGTAAGTTTTCAGACTTGTTGCAACCTCACAACCACACTTAGGAACATGCTAGTCAACCCTTGGATAATATAGTTTATCAGGTTATATCTTCCCAGTTTTGCCTATATGTCTCTAAGTCTACTTGTGTTGTCCAACAATCGTAATACTTTTGTTTTGTCCTAGTGATACTGATTTTAGTATGAATGCAGGTATGTATACTTAGTTAAATATTTTATTATTTAAAAGTATAATCTCTTTATCAGAGTAGTTTAATCCCGCTTGTGTTTATAGTTCGTATATCTTTTATGGGTTGATACACTAAATTCACTATAAACAAAGCTCTAATACCAATCTATCACATACCAAAACCGGAACGGCGGAATCGTTCGGGGGTGGAGGATGTCATGTACAGTCACGCAACAATGAAAAGTAGTAAACAAGCAACAACATCATCCATTGCATTAATAATATAATTTCATACAAGTGTGTTCTATCAAGTTATATACATAATAAAAATATGCATCAAAATAAAAGAGGAGTCTTGAACGAGATCCATCTTCTTAAAAACTTGGCACCAGTACCTGTCTACTAGTGACCTAGGAATACAAGTTATTTTAAAAGAATTTATCAGCTTTAAAGCTGGTAAGATCATATGTATATTAGTGTCTGTCTTTGTATGAAAGCATTTGTAAGATGTGTGTAAGATGTAATGTATAAGTTTTGTAAAGTTTGTATTTGTTTGAACACTCCTAGAAAACCCTATGTTTCCTACTAAAACTAGCCTTCTACCAAGGCATCTAGTATCTGTGTGTGTGTCTCTTGTTAAGAGTGTGTATTTTCCCAAATCCGACTATCATTAACCAAAAATATAGTTTTTACATTACCGTGCATCGTGTGAATGATCACGAAGTGAATGTAATGGGAAAATAATATAGTACTATAGTGTTATATTAAGTAACTATTGTTGTACTAACTACTTTAAACTAATTGTTATTTAAAGTACCATGTGATCGGCCTATATCCTACTACCAACTCAATAGTAAAACGAAGTTGTAAGATGTCGTAAGAAATGACGTTTGGCACCCATAGACTGCAAGTCCCACTGTAGCGAGCATCAAGGTGTAGGATAGTCAATCTACTATAGATCTATACACAACCTCATACGCTCCCCAGTTATGGAGATTTTGGATACAAAAACAATCATGGCAGGTAGTGCCATGCCCCGTTTAGTGGCTCACATAACTATATTAATGTATATATAATGTATGTGCTAGCTGTATTGTATGTTCTTTCTCTGTCTAGCATGTATGTTTTGTTTCTCATCATAGTATCTACTGTTAGTTTCTCATCATAGTATCTATTGTTAGTTTCTTGTCATAGTATCTATTTTTTGCTAATAACTCATGTATGAAATGACTCATTGTATGTTTCATTGTTCTAGTAATAGTATTAGTATCTCCCTAAACTATACCTATTATATTCGACTAGTAATGTTATTTGTGTATATGAGCATGTGCGCATACCTTTTCTACACAAAATTATTTAACAGACTGATGGAACTTTTATGTCTATATATGTATACATGATATATAACTAATATTTAGACGACATTCGAACGAATAGCCGATGCCCTAAGGCCACATCCCAACGAGGAAAAGGAAATAAGGCGAGCTAGCCGTCCTAAGTATTTAAACATTACTTATCTATACCATCTTATAAAGCACACATAATCAATGTCTTAAGTATAAATTTTAAAGCCTAAGGTACAAAAAATTAAGCATGTTATCTTAAAAAACAAGGAAAGCTGATCTGGACCCTTGATTCTAAAATGAGAGGTGTGGATTTTAGTTTTGGCAATCCATGTGAAATGGTTTCATCCAATCAGATTACATAAATCATTAATGCATTCTTTGTGTAGATGGACACAATTGGAGAAACACGAGATAAAATTTTGGGCGGCTGATTCAAAAAAAAACCTTGTGCGGACTTTTCAAATTTCAAAAGTCAGTCAAAATACACCCTAAAAAACGCCGATTCTTCCCTACCAGTGACCATACTCTCACTTTTTCTCATTATTCTTCCTCAGCACCTCCCTCCATTAGAAATCATGGTCTCACCATCAATATCTCATTGTCATTGCTGCTAGATCTACATACAAACTCAAGTCATTAGTGTGTTGATTACCAGACTCCACCACCATATCGTTGTGCTTCAAGTTCCGAAGCTTCCCCTTTTCACCATTATCTTTCTACACCCCAACCATATGGTATTTCTATATCGACATCAGACTCTTGATGATGCTACTCAATGCTATATAGTAGATTTCATGCAGCTTGACTTCTCACCACTCTGAACTGGTGAGAAACTTGTGTATTTTTTTTTTGGTTTTCTGGTCTTATTCTCCCTCGATCTTTTAGTTATTGATTTTATCTCTAAAAACTCTTTACACTTTCGCCCCCCCCCCCCCCCCCCCCATTTGGTTGTCTTTTTGAAGTCATACAGATATCATGGTTAGATTTTTTTGATTTTTTTGTTAATTTTGAGTGTGAAATTTAATGCTTTTACAGATCAGTTGGGATTGCTAGGGCTTCAAGCGAAGATGTGAACACCGTGGTTCATGGAAGAAATTTTTGAGTAAGGACACTGAAATAAGGGACCTAAAAGATGAAGCCATATGAAGATTCTCAAGTATCAAGGTGTTTTATTATGTTTTTCTTATCCAAATCCACATTCTTATAAAATCTGTTGAGTGTTTCAAGATCTGTTGGTTTAAAGTTACTAACAAGAATTTTTTTTTTATCTATTTTCTGGGCTTTATACAAACCTATGGTTGTTCATTTCACCAGTTCAGATTCTGGGGTTTTAGGGTTCGCTTTAATTCTTAACCTGAAATTGATCTACTTCTATTGTCTGCAACGATGAGCCAACCACGGTGTCTGTTCACTTTCCACAGCCACTCCCTTCTCCCTATATATGAAGACAAACTATCACCCTAATCTGTTTTTTTTAATCTTTGAGAGGCTACCATCGAGAAAGGATGAGAGTAGTTTAAATGAAATTATGGATTTTTATTTTTATCTATATTTTTTTTCTCTAAGAGTCTACCTGCAAATCTCCATTTACACTTTTATCAAACTAAATCAATTTTCTTCACTGTTCTTGTAGGGCATGCATGGCTTGAAACCCATGTGAACCTAATATAACAAAGACTAACCAAGTAAATCAACACTGGATCTAGATTTGACTTTATTATCATTTGTCTTTATGGTTATTTATATCTGATGTCATCTCTGATTTCTAGCACAGGACTATCTGGTACACAATGGCCATGCTCTACTGAAGATAACATCATGTGAAGAGTTCTTGAAATAGGTACTAATTTTGGTAACCAATATCTCATATGTGTATGTTTTTATTCACTCTGATTTTGCTATCTTCCTAACGTTTATATCTTCATTGTTTTTACCGTAGATCCATCCTCAATAACCCCTCATGATGATCTATCTTCTCCCAGGCCATATGTCATTTCTTTCATGTATCGAGGTATCTAAAGTTCATCATCTTTCCTTCTGTGCAGGTTTTTGCATCAGCTCGTAAAGAAACAGAAGTTTGACATTTTTGTTGTATCAGGTGCACCAAAGAATGAGATAAGGTTTGTGTAGGGGTAAAATGGTCAAGTATGGGTTGTGCAGGATTGTGTGGGAGTTTGACAAGGACAACAACTTTTTGAGGATGTTTTTTGCAGGAGAAACCTCGATACTTACCCGCTTTTGTTTGTTTCATCGGTTGTAGTTTATTTGGAAGATGATGATGTTCCCACAAGGAAAGATGTCGATACTTACCTGCTTTTGTTTGTTTCCCTCATCATCACTGCCCCTTCAATCACACATGTCGCCACCGTTAACTATCGAAACTAGGTACAAAATCTCTTCGTTTCTCTTCTTTCTATGTGTTGATTTATTTTATCTACCAAACTAAAATTTATGTGGTTGTAATGCAGAAGGAAAAAACACACAAACATCTCTATTTGGACCATTTGTTTGTGCAGTGTGGAATTTAGATTAATCTAATCAAGAACTATTTTTTTATTGATTTTGATCTAGATTGATATGTTTTCAAGGGGGTTCCTGTCTGAATAGCTTTCTCATGGAGTAGCACCTCTTTTCCGGAATCAATCGGTTATTTTGAAACCTTTCAGCTCCTGAAGCCATATGGACAAGGGTATTTTTCTTTTTTTGACCAATACATATTAAATAGTCACCTGTGTACCTGAATGGATCTTCAATTTTACTATTTTATGGCTATTGTTGGGATACCTTGATGAGTTTTACAAAACATTATGAAACTGGAATATCTTCCTAAACAAGATCAAAATCATTGAAAAATAGATTTTAAGCTTCATGCTGGTATTCCATTTCATGTTGGCTTTCTGACCATTTTTCATATCGGTATAATTGTTCCTTTTTTCAAGATTCTGAATCCATTTATTAGAAATTGTTTGTTTCTAATTTCAAGTGATTCATTAAAGAGAGAAGTGTTGGCATGATAATAGCTACCTCTGGTTTAATGTTGATAAAAGAAGCTTTATAGTATGAAGTTGTTGTCGAATGTCATTGTTGTTGCATATTTTTGGATCTTCAAACATGATTGAGTGTACCAGAACCGTCCTACGGATTCCACTAAAGTGTCCACAACCGACACTGATCTTGTGACCATCGAACAATTTCAGACTTGTTTATATTTTTTTATTAGTATATCTGCTTGAACATACAAGAAGTAGATATGGTGTTTTTCTTTTCTCCAGATCTGGTTAGAAAAACATATTGGGCGAATTTATTTGGTAGGAAAGTTTTGTTTTTGGCAAATGGATTTGTAATATGATTGTAGATCTATCTCTGTTGCGGATGACTTTTTGATATCTATGAATACATATTGTGAAATATTTATGTTGATGATTTTTAATATTTAGATCTCACATAGTTCATGAAATAGTATGATTAACTTCCTATTGGTATTTTGGTTAGATCTAAAACCTGTCAAGTTAACTGTGTTTAAGCCTAATTTAAAAAATGGGTTGTAGAGGTGTGTCGTTACTTAATGAATAGTTTACACAAATTGCTATTGGGATACGATAACTTCTAATTGACTTGGAGAATAGTTATTTATATTTAATAATACATATAATTAAAAATAAAATCAAACAATCAACCGTTTTTTTATAGATAAAAGGATTAAATTAAGTAATAGAATATAGAAAAGTGTCATCAAAATACTACGAGACACATAAATACTACCAGACATCTAACTCATAGGTTTCATAATTTTTATATTTACACTGTTCAAGCTTGAAACTCATATTAATTTAACAGTTATACATTTACAGCAATGTTGATGTTAAATTTGATTGGTTGAATTTGATTGATATGATATTTGTTATTTCCAGAGCCTATAATCATAATATCTCACCAATTAATGTAGGAGAAAGAACCCTTATGTCTTGACAAAATTGTAAGAATGCTCCCTGTGGTATGTTGACAATTGCTACTTTGGGCTAAACAAGTTCGGACTAACACTAATAGTCCAAAAATTTCAATTTGTTGCGAGTTTGGTCCAATTTATTTTGAAAAGACGATTTTGCCCCTTATTAGTTAATTTTCCATTTTATTTTCTTATAATAATTAAATATAAAACAAAAATAAAATACCCTCCCTCTCTCTCTCTCTCTCTCACACACACATGTTCAAGGAGATTAATAAGACAAAATTCAATAAAAGAAGCTCAAGAAAAGGATGCATCTCCTCAATCGGAAATCCACCACAATTCTCATGCCCTAAATCCAACTTCGTCTGTAAAACCCGCCTTCAAGATTTGTACATCGATTGTGCCAACAGTGCCCGTCGGAAATCGGCCCTCCAGAATCCACCACCATCACCGTCATCCTCTATATCATATGCTCCGATGACGACTTCGTCTCTACAAAACCTACGTCGACAAACACGACAACAAACCCAACTCAGTTTGTCCTTCTTTTCTCAGTTTGTCCTTCACCAGTCGCCCCCTTTCTCAGATCTAAGTCCCACCCAAACAACGAGTTGAAGATCGGAGCGGCGGTGTGTGTGTGTGTATGTATATGTTTGTGTTGTTCTGTTGTAAACTAGATGGATGTTTGTGTTGATTTGTGTATGTGTTCATCAGCTTTCATGTGTGCATGTGTTCATTTGGTTTTGTGTGTGTATGTGTGTATTTATCTGATATGATATTATGTGTGTGTTCATTCGATCTAATTTAGGTGGAGATGGAGGTGGCGGATGGTGGCAGAAGATGTTCTTGAGTGTTCTTGAGGAAGAAGAAGAAGATGGGTAAGAAGATGTGTTTGTGTGTGAGAGAGAAAGAGAGAGAGAGATGGAGAGAGAGAGAGAGAGAGAATATTTTTTTTATTTGTGTAATAAAAAATGAAAGAAAAGAATACAAAGGGCAAAATCGTCATTTGATAAAAATTAAAGCAAAATGGACCAAACTCGCAACCAAATTAAATGTTTTGGACCACTGGTGCTACTCCAAACCTGTTTGGCCCAAAGTGACAATTTTCGACATACCACATGGACCATTTTTGCAATTTTATCTTATGTTATTATTATTATTATTATTATTATTATTATTATTTAACAAACCGTCTAAAAATCACTTAATTTTATGTTAATCTATTTTAATTAAGTCAAACTAATATTTTGTTGACAAATAAAATGACTAATAATATTTTTTTTCAACTGATTTGAAATTACAAGTTAAACCATAAAAAACTGAAACCATCAACCACTACATCTGGAAACCATCCGCCAGAAGGGAATCAATAGCCATCTAGAAACCATCAGCTAAAAATAAACTATTCATCGAAACAAAAAAATTTATCGTCGCCGCATCGCGCGGGTACTTTACTAGTATATATATATATATATATATATATACATATATATATATATATATATATATATATATATATATTATATATGTATATACATATATAGGCATGCATTTGACAATATTAAAGTATAAAAGAAGTTTCGTGAAACCTTTGAAAAGTTTAAATAACTATGAAATGATGAATTGATGTCGGTTTGTAAAATGATTTGAAAGCAGTTTGCTAAAAGCAATTGGTATGTAAAAGAGTTTGTAAGACAGTTTGAAGTAAAACGGTTTGGTAACACAGTTTGAAAGTAAGAAATTCACTTGTTGATAGTTATTAATCACATGTGATTGATATAATAAGTATAGTAGTTTCACTTGGATCCACCCCCCCCCCCCCCATAAAAGCATTTAAAACATTTAAAAGGTTAATTAAGGGGTATGAACTCACCTGTAGTGAGTGGTTTGGATGAACTGATAATATACGATTGCTAGCTGTCAAGTGAAGACTTGAACACACTCAATGATCCTAGTTAACATATAATTTATGGGTTTTTGGTCATAAGACATCCTATGTGCTCATATAAACCCTAATGCTTGGATCTAGGTTTCTCTATTATACATGCTTTGAATCCAAGACTATAAACCCTAATTCTAGCATATGGAAATCAGTATTAACATATAATTAGGTTTAAGATATTACCTTGATTGCTATGTAGCAATAACAATCCTAATTCCACCTTGAATCGACTTTGGAATGCTTAGAGTCACAAGTGTCACTCCTCTAATGGCTTACAAACACCAAGAGCAAATGGAGAAGGTATATAGAGAGAGGAGAGAGGTTAGAATTCATCCTTAGGACTCCTTGGGAACAAGTACACGAATTCTAAGGCCTTAGGGTCTTTATATAGGTGTAGAGATAGGGTTTCAGTCATTATCCTTATCTAGTTGCTTATCCACCAAGTAACCATAAGATAAGTCTTAGAAATCCCTTATCCTTTATCCTTTGGACAATTTCAAGGATATCTTATTCCTTGAATTCGTCCAACCTATATCTAGGATAATCATTACCATATTTTGTAACTATCACATAATTATAATTCAGCCCCTCTAGTTTAATTAATTACACTTGATCACAAAATTAATTCCCAATTAATTATTGACCAATATTAATTAAGCAAATATGATTTCTCCTTTAATATATTATTCTTATAACATATTAATAAATCATAATAACCTCTCTCTCTTTATTTATTTCTCCAATCAAGTTGCTTTGGTGAAGGCAACCCAAAAGGACCATGCACCATCGGGTCAAGTACATACCAAAATAGTTATGGACTTAGACACTAATCCAACAGTCTCCCACTTGGATAAGTCTAATAACTATTTTGCGTATGACTTCAGATCTTGATCTACAATCGTAGCTTTCCAAAGCCTCTGTCAACTCGGATCCTATCAGATACGCGTGTCCTTAGATAAGGGATCATATATTCCTCCATTCTAGATATCATATGAGATATGATTTTTAATCATTCTCTTTGTACTATATCTCGATTTCCGATTTATGACGACAAACAAATTGAACAAATAAAATTACCCCTAGCCCAGCCGAGCATTTATGTTTGTCATCACTAAACCATCGAGGGGCCCAAAGATATCGCTTTTATCCTTCTTTGGATAAAAGGAACGTATAAACTTTCATACAATGCTTGCTTGCACTCATTCACCGAATTACACACAACAATATGATTTATAACACCAAGTTACTAGTGCGTTTACATATTATCAATGTGCAACCAATTCGCAAGATACAACTCACACATCTCAGTTTCAAGAATATAAGATGTTATCGTCTCACCAATCACTCGTGATACAATTCATGGAGTGATCCTATTGAGCGTGGGTTTAATCCAATGCTCAAATTCATATTCATAAGCACTCATGAATGTTTCAGCAAACATTTGCTTATGTCTAATACTCTTTTAGACAATCCACACACCAATTCACGACAGTC